CAACCAGAACTCGCACTTGGAGAACTTAGCATACAAGCTCATCTCCTCAAAGTATCCAAAACCTCCCGCAAATGCTCCTCATGCTGCTCCTGCGTCATGGAATAAACCAAGATGTCATCAATAAAAACTATCACAGACCAATCCAACATCAGCCTACACACGCAGTTCATGAGATCCATGAACGCGGCAGGAGCATTGGTGAGCCCAAAAGGCATCACCACAAACTCATAATGACCATATCGCGTCTGAAAAGCAGTCTTCTGCACATCCTCCTCTATGACCCTCATCTGATGATAACCGGAACGCAAATCAATCTTGGAGAACCAAGATGCACCCTGAAGCTGGTCAAAGAGATCATCAATCCTCGGTAGTGGGTAACGGTTCCTCACCGTTACCTTATTCAGCTCCCGATAATCTATACACATCCGATGCGACCCCTCCTTCTTCTTTACAAATAAAATCGGGGCTCCCCAAGGTGAACTGCTCGGTCTGATGAATCCCTTGTCTAACAGCTCCTGCAGCTGTGTAGACAAATCTTGCATCTCAGGAGGAGCCAACTGATACGGTGCCTTGGCAATCAGAGCCGCACCAGGGACTAGGTCGATCCTGAATTCTACCTGCCTCTCCGACGGTATTCCAGGCAACTCCTCTGGAAATACATCCGCGAACTCTCGCACCACTGGCACATCACTCACTGTCGCCTTACCCGCCTCTCGGGTATCCAAGACATAGGCGACATACCCTGCACACCCCTGCTTGAGATAGTGCATAGCTCTCGCTACTGAACATAAAGCTAGTCCATGTTGTGGCCTCTCGCCCTGAATCACCAGCTCTCCCCCACCTGGGGTCCTGACCCTGACCAACTATTGCGCACAGTCAATCACCGCCCTATTGGGGCTAAACCAATCCATGCCTATAATAACCTTGTTCCCCCGCAATGGTATGGGAACCAAGTCTACCAGGTAGCGCTCCTCGAACAACCTCAAAACACAATCCTTGAAAACCTCTGATGCTCGCAATGACCGGTCGTCCGCAATCTCGACCTCTAGAGGGCAATCCAACATGCCCGAAGACTCAGGGAACCTCTTGCTAAGCGCAAGAGAGACAAATGATCGGGTAGCACCCGAATCAAACAGCACCTGAACCGGGATACCGTTCACATGGAACGATCCTAAACAAGACATATCACATGGAACATCAATATCATAAGCAACATGAAATAAAAGCTAGGGGAAGAAATCATACCCGTCACCACATTGGGTGCGGCACGTGCCTCCTCGGTTGTCAACTGAAATGCTCGGCTCCGCACTACTGGAGTCTCTGTCTTGACCTTCCGGCCATCCGTAACTCGTTCAGTCGCTGGAGTCGGCGCCACCACCGGCGCTGCTGCTGATGCTGCTGACAACCTAGGGCAGTTGGCCTTTTATGGCCCCTTTGATTGCAATGGAAGCAAATTAGGTCTGATGTCTGAACTGTGGGGGCGGGGGCAGTACAATCCCTGCCAAAGTGCCCCGTCTTGCCACACTTGTAGCAGCCTGACGATCCCGCTCTACAAGCTCCCTCATGTGGCCTGCCGCATTTCCTGCAGCGGCTCTGGCCCGGCTGGCCCTTCGACCTAATGTCGGATCCCTTGGGTTTCTTCCCTGAAACCCCCGTAAACTGCTCAATGTCTGCCTTCCTCTTCTTGAGGTGCTCCAAATCAATCTCCCTCTCTCGCGCCCTGGCAATCATGGACTCCAGGGTCGGGCAAGCTGAATAGCTGACATGCTCCCGAATATCAGCCCTCAACATATCATGGTAGCGGTTCTTCCGCATCTCCTCATGCCCCGCATACTGAGGCACCAACAAGGCCCTCTCCCTGAACTTGGCAGTGATCTCTGCCACTGTCTCGGTCGTCTGTCTCACGTCAAGAAACTCCCTGGTCAGCTGTTGAAGCTCCACAGCTGGCGCAAACTCAGCCTTGAACCTGGTCACGAAATCTGACCAAGTCATAGCCTCGATGGCTGGGGCTCCCAGCGAGTCACCGACTGACTCCCACCAATCCCTAGCTCTGTCCCTCAAACACCCTGCCGCAAAGCGGACCTTCGACCCCTCCGGGCAGAAGCTCGTCAACTGTGCAGACTCAATGTATGTGATCCATCTCCTGGCAGCAATGGGGTCCTTCACCCCGTGAAAGTCCGGCGCACCACTCCCCCGGAAGTCCTTGAAGGATAGAGTGCGCGTACCCGACTGGCTGGATGCCAAGTCACTCCTGAATGCTCGGAGGCGACCCTCCATCAGCTCAACAATCCCCTCCTTGATCGACCCGAAAATGATAGGGGTCGACTCAAGGATACCTCTAGTGATCTCAGACGCGATGAACTCACGTAAACCGTTATCAACCTGCTCGTATCCCGCACCCGAGCCTGACTCTGATCCTGCTCCATGTCGCGTAATCGCCATACTGAAAACAAACACAATAATGTCAGGGTCATACATACTCTCGAGAGATCTCACACACTCTCCAAGTTTCTCGGTTCTATCTCATCCTTCCTTGATTCGAGTACGGATCCTCTGCTTCCAGTAGTACGGGCCCATACTACCTTCCACATCTATCCATACTTTCCTCAAGAACTGCCTTGACTTCACCAAGTCCCTTTCTACTAATACGACTTCCCAACTAATCTCATCCTAGGCTTTCCTAGGACACCCTCCGACCTACTCTCCGCCATCAGCTGCACTAGGAGTCCCTACCACCTTTCCCTAACTAGCTTGCGAATACTGTTACATATTCGCCTACTAGTTAGTTAAAGCTAGCCAGAACCCTTATAGCACAAAGCAAGTAGCATTCGTTCATTGAGTAACCAAATCAAGCATAAACTAATTAGGCTTTCATACTGTTGACTAACAGCCCTAGCATACAGCTCAATAAGCTCATACAACAAGCATATAAGGCATCCTTCCTAGATCCTTAGTTCTATTCTAGCATGCAGTTCTTAGAATCATATAACAGGCATACAAGGCATCTTCCTAGATCCTTAGCCCTAATCTAGCATGCAGTTATCATAATCAAATCATATAACATAACATAACATAACAAGTAGGGGTATCTTGGGAAAAACTTACTTGAGCTCGGACGGTCGCACGCATCACACACCTCGTTCTTTCTCAAAATTCTTTAACTCAGATTTTAGAAAACTATTTTCTTGTAAAAATCATTCAAACCCTCGATTTGAGTCCAGACACCCCCGAAGGTGTGTCCGAATCCCTCAAACCAAGGCTCTGATACCAACTTGTAACATCCCAAATTTCGAGTCCAAAAATTTCGTTTCTAATTAAGTAATTTATAAAATTATTTACTGAAAACATTGTCATTATCGTATCAATCCATAAACCATCATGAACATGTCTCAAAATCAAAACATCGAACAGTAATATAAATCAGAGTACAATCCCAGAAAACTCATTGCGGAAACCATGTGTGTGTGTGTGATGTGCTGCTACACCGCCGGCTCCTTCCCCTTGGATGAAGAGTTACCTGAAACCAAAACTGAAACTGTAAGCACAAAGCTTAGTGAGTTCCCCCATCATACCACATACTATACAATCATACATGCTGCCGGACAATTCTGGGGTGCCCGACCTACCCATGTCATGCCATTCTGGGGTGCTGACTACCCGTGTCAAGCCATTATGGGGTGCTGACTACCCGTGTCAGGCCACTCTGGGGTGCCTGCCTGCCCTCCGGTCTATCTCACCCGGTCACGGGGACTATTTCACCCATACTTACTATCACATAATAAACTATCATAAACATGTTGTCAGACATATCTGGGGTGTCCGACCTACCATTCGGTCCTAACGACCGATGGGGGACTATTCCCCTCGTACTACCATTATCACATAGAACATAGCATATTGGCACATATAACATATCAAGTAATAGCAAACCAGACAATTATCACAAAGACAACCATCTCAACTGTAACCAACTACTAGTGGGTTGGCCTTGGTGCCTTAGACCCACTTCTACTGGAAGGTAAATCACCTCAATGTCGCGTAGTGTCTGAACTGTCTCCGGCGTGAAAATCGACTTTCCTCGATTCCTCAATCCCTACACGACAAACGCTACTAAGTTATCAATTCGCACTCATAACCCTCATAAGGGTTAACCCAAATCCTGGTCAAAGTCAACCTCCAGTTGACTTGACTCGCCGAGTTGGTCTACCAACTCGTCGAGTCCCTATTCCTCCAAAATGATCCAACTCCCGACTCTACTCGTCGAGTCTAGCAACAACTCGACGGGTCCTTCTTCAACAATAATATCGGGACCATCTTCAACCGACTCGCCGAGTTCCCCTTGAACTCGTCGAGTTTGTCTCCCTCACAAGAATGTGTTTAGTCTATGACTCGCCGAGTTGTATGAACAACTCGTCGAGTCCATGTTCATGGGTTGGGAGATTGCCTTTGACTCGCCGAGTTTGTTCATACACTCGTCGACTCCCATGATTTCCAGGTCTATAATCACGTCCATCTTTGTTGAGTCATTTTCTAGACTCAACCAGACTCCTCAAGACAGCAAAGGTCGGGGAACCATTTCCCGACTCGCCGAGTCCCAAGAACGACTCGCCGAGTCCACTAAGTCCATGTCCATAAACTCGATTTCTATTGAGCTCATCTCATCCAAAGGGTAAATCTGACCTCTTAGGGTCGATATAACACGTAAAGTCATGAACTTTACGTCCATGCATGGGTCTTTAAGCTCAAAAGGACCAAAAATGAGACCTACAAGATGCATGGGGCTCTCATGGTCATAGAGTTGGCACCTTTATGCCATGAGACCCTTCCAAAGTCCAAGATCTGAAGCCATAACTTCACATTACACCCCACAACCCGAAAATGGCTTAGAAATGCCCTAAATATACCAAAACCCAAGCCCTAAAGATGATTAAACACATGGAAGGTCAAGATTGAAGCTTTTTACCTTAAATGAGTTGGAGATGAAACACAATCTCTGGATCTTATAGCTTCAACTGGAACTCCCAAGCTCCTTTCTTCTTCTCAAGCTTCACAATCACCAAATAATGCACAAAAATGGCTTAAGAGCACTCAATCAAGGCTAGGGTTTCAGTTTAAGGTCTTCTGGAAGTGTGAGGGACGATGAAGGCTGATATGGGAGGAGATAAGTTGTTTAAATAGGGTGCAAACCCTCAAATTTAGGGTTTCACTCAGACAGCTCCTACTCGCCGAGTCGATCCCCCGACTCGTCGAGTAGGTCACTTAAAATCTGCGCGCAAAGCCAAATCTACTCAACGAGTTAGGCCTTCAACTCGCCGAGTCCCAGGGTAAAACACAATAATACATGGAATTAAATATGTACCAGGAACCGGGTGTTACATCAAGATTGAGGGGAATTCCAAATCGTGAATGAGCTGTTCTCCCTCCTGGCATGTTGTTAGCCGCAACACCTGACGTGGCAGTTGCAAGTGCAATAAGACCACATACACGAATATTGGCCAACAAAGTTTTGTACAAAAATGTCTTTCCAGTTCCACAGGGACCATTTATGAAGAACACACCCAGAATATTTTCATCCACATGCCTCATTATCTCATTATATGCAAACTTATGGTCTGGATTGAGAGAGTCCCGCGCAAGTAAGTCTTCATTTTCCACATTTATAGAGTATTCTTCTTGCACCTCACGATAGCCTCTTGATTGTAAATCGATGTGTGCACTGACATTTGGAAGGTCGTAATCACTAAGCTTTTTACTCATAGATTCTAGGAATATTCTAATGTCGATGAGGACCATATTTTGCACTCGTTCGACACATCCATATTGTTTCCTATAATCTTCAGAAAGAGAATCATAGTGGTCGTCCCATAACTTGCGAACATTTCCCGGTTCACAAAAAATCAACATCGTCGCAAATAACCATCTAAGTGTGCTGGGAAACTGAAATAAGGAAGCCTCTACAAGACATTGTGATAAATTATCATCGGTCTCTATTAAACCTCTTCAAGAGCTGCTTTTCGAAATGTAGGGTGTAATATACCATTAGCTGTGTATAAATCTTCAAAGCAGGTAGGCCCAGTAATATGACAAAAAATCAAGCGTAGGTAGTATCTCTCTCCTTCAGCTGGATTAGCATAAACAAGTCGACCAATCATTGATTTATGTTCCCTGGTCCTCCAACAATGGTTTCTCCGATTCCATGTAAAATGTTTGGGAAAATCCTTATACAAATATTTTCTTGCATTGGAATCTTCTTTATTCTTATTGAAAAATGCCGTTAACATTGAATTTTTTCCTTTCTCCCTATCAACAATGTCTTCCATTCTGTCACCGTCTTTGAACCTAACCAACTGTTGATTCGGGAGATGTATTTGCAAGGCCATCACGCAAGGGTGGATTTTTGAAAGAGGAAAGCTAAAAACACGCCATAATGCCTCAGGAGGGGATACATAACGTGCGTCTTGAAACTTTCGTATCTCATTAATAACAATATTTTTCTTGGTCTTTATCAATATGGATAACTTGTTTGTCATGGCCCTTATAAACATATTTGAAGAGGTACTTCACAGACTTTATACTCGAACAAACCTCAACGTTGATATGACAATTAAACATCATTAATAACTTTGGGTTGTATGGAGCCACCCATCTATTATCCAATGTTGTATATCTTACAGTCACCTCAATTCCATTATTTCTCCTTCTATATAATGGATATGAGTCCTCTCCTTGTGATGTCTTTTCATTGAATTGGCTAGGATATCTGAAACGACATATTTTTGGCACACCCTGCATACATGGACTTTTTTCTCGTAAGCCACCACAAGGACCGTGCATCATGTGACTTTTGACAAGATCATGCATTTCAGGAAACCTCATTGGGTCGGGAATTTCCACACACACAAGTTTGTCATAATCGTCTGGATTATTCATCTTATATCCAGGTGTCATTATTAAGAGGAAATGTGCATGTGGCAATCCACGCTTTTGAAACTCTATCACATACACATATGACCCCACCACATCGATTATATGTCTCTGGAATAACTGTACCTTGAGATCCTCTAACTTTGCATGAAAAACTCTTGCAACAAGGTATGGTCGATCTTGAGCTGACTGTCCAGGCAATAACTCATCATCGATTTCTTTCCATTTTGGGTTGCACGTCATTATAAGAAATATACCATGCCTCCCATCATCTTGAACTAAAGCCATGACATCCAAAAATCTTTGTCGCATGTTACGTGGACCTCCAATGAAACTTGCAGGTAACACAACTCTTTGTCCAACCCTACTTGGTTGAGCCTCACCGGCATTGAAGCAATCAACAACGCCCTCGTATAAATCGGCTCTAGTTTTGGTTTGGTTCTTTTCAACAAAAACCAAACGTGTAGTCTCAATCTTTATATATGTATCTACTGCAAACTGCTGGAACAATCTCCCTCCCATCAAAATCACATTATCATTCGACCGTATCTGGAACTTGTAACAATAGTACTCCCGCATACTTACAATATTTCTGCCTTTTTTTGAAGTAGATTCTGTGATACCATAATTTATGTGAAAAATATAAATTTAATATTCATATATTTAAGGCAATATCTGTTACATGTTTTAAATATGTAAAAGAATGTTAAAGGCGTACCTTCTGAACCTTCATCATTATCTTCATTGTCACTATGAATTTCATCCATGGCGATCCCATATCTTGGTATTTTAGGATGCCATCCAGACTCACCATTGGGAAAGAATAAAGGATACGGCAAATGATCATAACAACCAAAGTGAGGTTGAATTTCAATACTATAGTTAGACCTCCCATAGACAATAATACTTCTTTTATATGCAGTGACGTTGTCATTTCCTTCAACCCAAATACCAGCAACCTATGCAAAGGTGTAGTTCAATAGGGTGATTAATATGATATGTATAATAATAAATATGACACATTTAATTTTAAAATGAATAAAGATAAATCTTAATATTCACACCTCAGATGTGGTCGGCTTATTGTACACCCTTTGGTCAAGTTCCACCGATGCATTCAAAGTCACTCTATAATTATCAAGCGGTCCTAGATCAGAAAGACGTTTAAATGTTCTAATGTGCGGATTCGAAGCAAGAATACGTGTTAGTTTTTGAATGATTCTTCTATCAACATTCTTCCAGGAGGATCTCTGTGATATTTAAGCTTCACCATCATAAAAATACAACTGTAAATACCTCGATTTTCCATCCCTTGAAATTAACTGATCGATATTATGATAGAGTGTTCCGTGCGCACAAAAAGTGTAAACTCCAGAAGTCATATTGGCCAATTATTCATCCACCTTTAGACCCATTGATGCGAAAGAAAAGTTTGAGTTATACGCCCTTATATTGTTGAAACATCCCCAAAAATACAGTCCAAAAAAATTTCGTTTTGAACCATTAATAAAATCATAAATATCCTCATCATATAAAATCATAAGTCATTTATAAAAGTCACATGTCAAAATATATCAGAGTATAAACATCCCAGGCTAAACAAATGGTGTGTGCACTGCAATCTTCCCGAGCTCCTCTTTTAAAAACTGAGTACCTGAAACCAAACTAAAAACCGTAAGCACGAAGCTTAGTGAGTCTCCCCAAACTACCACATACCATACACATATATCATGCAACTAGGAGATACGGGCCCCGCCCACACTCATGGAGATACGGGCCCTGCCCACACTCCGCTAACTAGGAGATACGGGCCCCGCCCACACTCCACTATCTCTGAGATACGGGCCCCACCCACACTCACCTACTTCGAGATACGGGCCCCGCCCACACTCGGCTACTGTGAGATACGGGCCCCGCCAACACTCAGCTACTATGAGATACGGGCCCCGCCCACACTCACTAGTCATGAAAATACATACAAGCTCTAAACAGGCAACAAGTATCACTAACATATAAATATGTACCATATCAACTATCTATGAAATACGGGCCCCGCCCACACTTAGCTACTAAGAGATACGGGCCCCGCCCACACTCACATTGCTATCAACACATACAAGTATCACACAGACAACAAGTATAGCAATCCAATAATCTGACTGATATCTATACTCAGATAATAATGAGATATGGGCCCCACCCACTCTCAACTACTAACGTATCACACATATACGGGCCGGCCTTGGTGCCTTAGACCCGTTCCTACTGGAAGAGGACTCACCTCACACTGCTGAAGTCCTGCAGACGAAAACCCTAGCTGCTGGACGACAGATTCCCAAATATGTCAATATCAAAATAACACCCAATTAATAATTGGGCTCTAACACATATCCATAAGTCCATGCTTGGGGTAAAAGACTACTTTACCCCTAACTTTGCTTGACTCAAGCCCAAGGCCCAATCCAAAGGCCCAAAAGTCTAATAATGGACCAAGGCCCAACTATGGCCCAATTTTCCAAATTGGGCCCAAACCTCTACATGGTCTTGCCTTAAGGCCTAATCATTTATTCTTGGTCCAACTCTTGGCATTCTAAGGGCCCAATACCATATAACCATCAAGGTCCAAACTATGGCCCATCTATGGCCCAATTTTCTAAATTGGGCCCAAACCCTCATATGGGCCTTAACCTAAAGCCCATCTAAATATTCTAGTCCATATAATCATTCTTGGATGGCCCATTATTATCCCAATCACCAAGGCCCAATAGAAAGACCCAACTCAAAGTTCAAGTGAAATTAGGGTTTCACATAAAATGACAATTAGGGTTAAGTGTTTCTCACTTAACCCATTAAAGACTTAATCCATTAAGTCCTTTACTCTAATAGATAAATGATATGGAATAATTTGGGCTTAATACACAATCCAATCCCAATGGCCCAAAGGTGGGTCCTACTAAGTCCAATCCAACAAATTCACAATTAGGGTTTTCTAAACCCTAACTAGGGTTTTTAGCCCAATAACGAACCAACCAAGTCCAAAATTAGGCTTCTAGGTCCATTAGGGTCCTACTAGGCCGGGCACCACCCACTGCCACCTCGGGCAGTGGCGGTCGACGGCGGCTCACGGCGGCAGGCGGCGGTAGCCACCATTTCCAATGGTGGTGGCTTGGAATCTTGACTCAAAAATCGCATATTCAAATTCATATCCATAAAATACCCACTCCCACACACAATAACACACATACATCCACCTCTCAAGGTGGCTGGTGGCGGCAGAAACAATGATAGTGGCGGCAGCCACCACCTTGAGGTGGTGGTGGTGGGTTTTCCAGCCAATAACTCGCATATAGCACATCCCAAGCTGTGAACAGCCTAACTACTCGACCGTTCATGTATTCAGCCACCTCACAGGTGGCTGCCGTCACCGGAAAAGCAGTAGCGGTGGTCAGAAGGTCACCGGCAGCAACGGTGACGCGTCTGACGTCAAGCATGCACGAAAAGGGACGGAGGAGCGGGGAGAAAGATGACAGATGGTCTTACCGGGAGTTTCTCGGAAATTCGCCACCTATGCAGCGAAGAACAGCGCTTCAGACTCCATTGGAGGTTCTCCGTGATGGGTTTCGAGCAATACATCATTCCTATGGTGTACATGCAATTCCTAATAGCTTTTAGATCTAGTTTGTCTAATGAACATGCAATTGAATATCCAAAGCTATAAACCCTAGATCTAGCATACAATTAATCATATTAACATAAAATATGGTTCAGATCTAACCTTTGATTGTTATATAGCAATAACAATCAATCCTTGGCTTCAGAAAGCTTAGTGCCTCAAGTGTTGCACCTCTAATGGAGTCACAAACACCATTAAGCAATTGGATGAAGGAGAGAAGAGAGAGGAGACACCAAAAACGGCTGGAAACCCTAATCCAAGTGTTGGCCACGTTTTTGGTGCCCAAGGGTTCCTTATATACTTAGGCTATTAGGGTTATCCAACAAGGAAACCCTAATTTGACTGCTTAAGCCCTAAGCAGCCCATGGACCCCTTCTGGAACATGCCTTGGACGATTTCTAATGGGCTTCCCCATAGAATTCGTCCAACCTATTATTCCAAGGTGATCCATAGCCCAATTGCAATTATCCTATAATTACAATTCCAGTCCCATAAGTTTAATTAATCTCTTTTAGTCACAAAATTAATTCTTAATTAATTCTTGACTAATATTAATTAACCAATATGATTTCTCCTTTAATATATTATTCTTATAATATATTAATAAATCATAATTAAACCTTTCTCTTCTTAATTCATCCTACATATTGCTATGGTGAAGGCAACCGAAAAGGACCATGCTCACAATCGGGTCAAGTACATACCAAAATAGTTATGGACTTAGACACTAATCCAACAGTCTCCCACTTGGATAAATCTAATAACTATTTTGCATAACTTCAGAACCTGATCAGCAATCGTAGCTTTCAAAAGCCGCTGTCAACTCTGATCTTATCAGATACGCGTGTCCTTTAGATAAGGGATTATATATTCCTCCATTCTCAAGATATCGTATAGACACAAGACATGAATTTGATCATTCTCTCTATACTGTTTCCCGACTTCCGATTTATGACGACTGAAAACAGACTACAATTGAACACATCAACTTAGTCCCGGCTTGGCCAAGCGCTTAGGGTGTCATCACTAAATCATCGAGAGGCCCACAAATATCGCTTTTATCCCACTTTGGGTAAAAGGAATGGATAAACTTCGACTCAAATGCTCGCTTGCATTTACTGATCGAATCACACACAATAATAAGTTTTATAACACCAAGTTACTGGTGCGTTTTCTTATTATCAATGCGCAACCGACCAACAAATAACAACTCACACTCTCGGTTTCAAGAATATACAATGTTATCGTCTCACAATTACTCATGATAAAAACCATGAAGTGATTCCAGTAAGCGTGGGTTTAATCCAATACTTTAATCTTATCAAAGCACTCATGAACTCTGCAGCAAACTTGTGCTATGTCTAAACACTTAGACAATCTACAGAAAGATTCATGACAGTCTTCCTTCATACCTACTTCCAACGTATGACCGACTGTGGAGGTTCGAATAACCCAGTTATTCTGGAAGTCAAAACATGCAAAATGAAACACAACGATAATACTTAATCCTATATGACCCTAAAACTTTTGAGCGTAAATAAAACACTTTTATTTAAACACCATATTGATTACTCATTATTCATTGCTTACTGTTTCAGAAAATCAACTTATTACTCGAATTATAACCACAATTGTCCCATGCTCCAAGCATGCACACTTTGGTTTCCTATGGTCCATACTCTGTGAAATAGATCAATTGAAAAACTTTTCCAATGAAACTCATTTCACAATCCCCAATCCTTATCATTAGTGTAAGAATACCAAATTCTTGCCACTTTTAGAATATGTCAGATTCTAACATTTTATGCAACGATCCTTTCGTAAAGTCATAGCACAAAAGTCACCAAGACCTGGCCAATGAAATCACAAAGTACTCTATCAGAAATTGTCATAAAACAATTATATAGATGTGATGTCTCTCACTCAAAGTACATTCCTTTGAACATCCTTCTCGCATAAAAGTTTCTAATCTAGACATATTTCTTAATATCCAACTCCCATTAATGGAAACATTTACATATTTGCCATACGGCAACTCATTCTTAATAGAATCTTATCTATTCATAATAATGTCAATATAGTCCATCCAGTACTATAGTTCCAACTACTCACAAACAACAATTCCTTGGCGAACCTTAGATCGTCCTTTGATAGTTGTTTAATTATTTTAGTCAAATCCAGTTCTAGTCCCTTTTGCCTCTTAATGCCCTAGGCATTTGGAAAATTTTAGAATGGTCAAATATTATAGCATTTGCAATCGATCCTATACCCTAAGCGTATGGGACACGATGCATAATGTCTTACATAAAGATATGATACTTTATCAATCTTCTGCCATAATATTTTATGTGTCATGTTCTCACAATTCGAACTATGAAGAGGGATGCCGTAATCATAATCGAAATTTGAGAACACACTATGTATCCTTTGACTAAATTTATTAAAATTTCTCAATCTAAGCTTTAGATATTGAAACGAAGTATAATATTCTCTCCCTTAATTATAGCAAAACAACTTTTCAACCCCTACAGCTTTGCAAAGTTAATATTTGTTTTCTATTATTAATATTGCTAACTCGCAATACTTGAAATAATAATCATGCTCCCACTAACACGATGATTATTACAATACAAGCATAACACTTATGCTCCCACTAGCTTTGACATATATCTAGAAAACATATGAACTTCCAGAAAACAATGCTTATTGAATTCCTTAAGTTCATATTTCTAAATACTTGATGCTTTGATAAGCCTTTATCTAAGCTTCTTAAACTCATACACCTTTGCCTTAGAAAGCTCATATGTGTGTCTAGACAAATTCAGAACTAAGTCCCAAATGTTCAGACTAATTGACAAATCTCACAATTCGAACTATGAAGAGGGATGCCGTAATCATAATCGAATTTGAGAATACAATTTTCACAATTGCTATTTTCTTAAAATCTCTCTTAGTGAAAGCATTTCCTCACAATCATTTTCATGAAGGAGGGAAACCTTATGTCACTTAGATTTTATGGTGTATGTGTTCCTATCCATGTGAATTTGCCAAAACGAAGGTTTGTGACAAATCCAAAAACATATGGACTGAACTTTTTCAATCTTGATTTCTTGCCTCATGGTAACACGAGTGCCCACCATGTCTTCCAAGTAGTTTAGCAACTCACCCTTACATATCAATGTACCTTCCATTGATCAAGGTGCTTGCCTTTATGCATACAAATGAGAACTCATAGAACTCAGAAGCATAACTAACTTAACTGGAATGGCGCAAAAAACAAAATTGTCATCCACGATAGGTTACAAACCTCAAGTCGTGCGCTAGTGATGATCAATTAGGTTTATTCTTGATTTATTCTTGAACCTTTTCAAGACCATTAAGACTCCCACTGACTCCTTGACATATAAGGTTCTCTTGTCAAGAAACATTTCTTGACAAACAAATATTCAAGAGTTAGTGTAGCTTCTTATCAAGCTTAACACTTCACACAATTGGTCTTAGTTGGTCTTTGACTTATCCAAGACATCACAACTTACCAATTTCAAATGTGCAAGAATATGAAAACTTTTCCAAACTCCACATTTGATGAGTGCCATAAACCTTCTTAAGACTTGTCACTCAAGTCACAATCTTAGACTCTAAGACTTGATATTGGAACGAAGTATGATTGACTTCTTTATTTAACCATTTCTACAATTCTCGATTCCTCTTCTTAGACATGCAATTACACTAAGACTCACTTAGAGAATCAATTTAGACATGGTTCTTAATCATTAAGACCTATCATAAAACACAATAAAAGTTACTCTCCCTTCTTCTTAGAATAGAGAAACTTTTATCTTTCTGCCTACTAGATTCTTCTTATTCGTTATGCTATTGGTTGAAACTCTTTCAATCAACTTAAAATTATACTCAATCTTATAAGTATAACCATATTTACTAAACTTTAGTAAATCATGACGAATATCTTTATTACTCTTGTGGTGGACTTGATCGACACACAACCTAATGTACTCGATCTCTTAGTCCTTCACTTGACACTTTGTCAAGGAATTAGTCTAATTTTCAAATATGAAGTTTCTCATTCATCACACAATGCAGGTTGCATGATTCCAAGTTTCTGTCCAATTAAAACTTGGGTGATGAGAAACTCTCCCTATTTGGTAAATTCTCGACAATTCCACAAATAACACAATTAAGAATCAAATCCATTATTGCTAATAGAAGAAACATTTAAACATCAATTTTTTCATACATGCCATTGCAAGGATAAATAAATAAGACAAAAACAAATTTTATTTTATTGCGGAAAAACTTTGTCCTTACAATGCAATTCAACTGAAAAACTATGCTATTACATATTTCTTATAAATCTACCCTAACTCTAAAGTAGCAGCTCAAAAATCCGATCTTTGAGTCCATGCGATCGAAATCCATTTCTTCGTGATCAGATTCAGCACACTTCTTCCTTAAGTTTCCTTTCTTTTCTTCGATCCTGCAAAACATCAAAATGTAATCTTATCACATCATGTATTAAGAACCAAAAATAGGAACTTATAGAGTTAGTTAATGGATTTTACCTGAAGTAGAGCCATACGTCTTGACTCTCCCATCTCTTAGATCTCTCAGGCAAACAGGACAGCTTCGTCTCCAATGCCCCTTCTCTTGGCAGTAAAAGCAAATGGACTCCTTTGGTACACAGCAAGGGACAATCTCAGCCTTTTCTGGACTTCCAATGTAGCTAGTGTCCAATGAAACATGGGAGTTTGATTGACCAATCAAGTTTGCTTGACCAGTGCGCCAAATCAACACTGATTC